ACATAGAGGTGACACTTTAACTATAACTTTGCTTTGAAAAGTGCTTAAAGTTTAAAGTTTTTACTTCAACTTTAAATTCAAAGTTAAAGTATTTTACTTTAAAACTTTAACTTTAATTAAAGTATAGTAAAAACTCGAAAATATTTTTTAGCTCGCCTTGTTTATTTCTATATGGTTTTTGGCAATAATTTTCTACTTTCAACTTTAACTTTAATAAAGTTTAAACTTACGTTAACCTTAATTAAAGGAATTTTAAAGTAAGAGTGCCACCCCTATGAGTACATGAATCCAGAAGATGTATACATACGCAAAAAACAAAGGAAAAGTGATTAGGAATGTGTTATGATACGAAATATCATGCCATCTATACTTCTCTCATATTCTTTCGTGTTTTCTTTGTTGTTATTTATATATATGCTTAGTAAAATAAACGTAAGAGTTAGTTATACCGATTCGATCATATCGAACACACGTCTTTTCTATTCATATAACTCGAGGTATAACAATTATGAACTACACAGAAATAATCTATGTATACATTTATTTAAAGTGAGATACATACTTGATACATTAGCTAATAATAATGGTGGTTGATCATTATGAAACGACGTTGGAAACGTTGGTAAAATACGATAACGATAACTATATTCTGGTAATGTATGTGATACATATGGATTCATTTATGTTTATCTAGAATAAATGAAATGCTATAATATGAGTTTATTATCTTTTTTCGAGACATGCACAATAAGATGATTTAATAAAAGAAAAAAGCAAAAAGATTAATTATCGACGATAATAAACATTTTTATACCATGTATTCGGTATATTCACATTTGGATCCGTTTTTTCATAGACCAAATCTCCGATTTGATTCAATTTGCAGTCAGCATGTGTAATGAACAACGATTCAATAAATACACGCAATAATTCCGAAGATTTATTCGGTACTGGAAATATACAAAATCTTTTTCATATTTCGACTAGAAAATCAAAACTACTTACAAACCAGGGCTCCGCGTGGGACGGGACAATCCCATCCCATCCCATGGGACGCTTTTTTTGAGTTTAGTATTTTTTTCGAAAATTTTGTTAGTACAGAGGTCTCTCGTATTCATTCAATCGAAACAAGTTAATGTATATTTGAAAATACTTCTTGAATGGTCAGAGGATATAACCACTAAACGGCGACAGAATCGAAAGAATGAATCAGAATATAAACGAAAAACTCGACTGAATCAAATCTATTGTAATACAAAAAGATCATTACATTTTCACACAACTTAATCTTAATAATGTCTTCGAACAATTCGTCATTTATCGTTGAAAGCCCACCTAATGTACATGAGATCGTAGACTTAACTACAACTGCAATTACACCTCCTAGTCTTCATATAACATCACCTTCAAGCGATGATTTCTCATCAATTATTAATGAATTTACAACTTAACGAGTTTGTCGTTTATTAAGCAAGAATCAGAAAATTATAAAAAGATTAGAAATACAAAGAATAATTTAACGTCTATATGTTGGAATCTCTTTGGCATTCCGAATAGAAAAATCCCTGGAACAGAAGAATTTGAACCAATTCCAGGTTTCGTTAGTTGTGAATCTTGCTTTCAAACGTATGCATTTTCGTCTACTTCTGGTACACGAGTACTTAATTCACATACATGTGTTCAAAAGTTTTCTTTTGGAACAAGAAAACTATCTTCTTCTGAAAGTGGAACTATTCATCAAATGAAATTGGAAACAATCACACAATCTTATAAAGATGTTCGTTTACCAGAAAAACCAATCAATTTAATCAAAGATTTAACATGTAAATGGCTATGTCAAGATATGAGACCGTTTTCAATTGTAGAAGATATCGGGTTAGAAAACTTAATACAAGAATTCATCAATATAGATAATCATATTTTAATTATGTTTTTGTGTACTCAAAAAGTGAGTACACTACTAGAATCGATCAGTATGTCCGGCCGGACGGCCGTCCGTCCGTTTATCCGATAACTCTCGAAAACTACAGG